TTCAACCCCTGTCAATTTGAATTCAAAGCGATTTTATTGAAATTCAATCGAAAGTGAATTACAGAACCTGCTTGAATATATACACTTTTTTTTTGGATCAAGGATGGGTGTTTGGCTGAGATTCTCTTATTTTTAAATGCCTCATGATGTGATATCACAAATAATAATTAAAAAAAAAAAACCTATTGATTCCAATATAATTAATTTATATGTTAAAGTTTTCCTTAGCCAAAGGTATTCAATTATAAAAATTCCAGATCGGGGGAAATGTACCAATAAATTGACAAATAAACCACATGTGGCAACTGTGGAAGTGATCAGCTGTTTCGAAGGTTACAAGCTTTTGCAAATTTTTCGTTCTCGTACTTCTGTGGATATTTTGTCTCTTTGAGAGCGAATGCTGTTAAATTCTCAGCTCAATACGAGTACACACCTATTATTACATATTTCATTAATTTTTTAAATATAAGGTAAATAAAGATTAAGTGTGGGTACAAAACGCTGTAGGGAACAGAATTGCTGTTTGAGAATGCTGCTAAATTCTCAGAATTCTTGCTACGGGATAATCTTGTGTGCGCATTAAAATAGGTAGCATTGTTGTAAATTTTTGTTCTACGGATTCACAACGTCAGAACAACGCTAATGTGCACTTCGCTTAAAGAGCTTTGCGGACTTTCAATATTTTTTATCATGTAGTCCGTTTGATAACCTAATAATCATTAATTATCACAAATGATCAGGATGAGGGGGAAGTTGCTAATTCTTGCTGAAAAAATTTTACTAGCAGCAATTTTCCAGCAACAAAACCAGCTGATAAATTTTTGATGATTTTTAAGGTTGAGATAACTTATTACAACTCCAACTGTTTGAAAGGAAAGCTGCAAGAACTTTTTTTTTTTTTGTACGAATAATTTACAAATAATGCATTCTCAAATTCTTTTAAAATTTCCAATGTCAATTTAAATATTTTCCGTTTGTTTCGAAAGGTTTCAAGCGCCGAGAGCGAAATCAGAACGCATACGTTTTCGATGTTCGCTCTATGTACTGAGTGCAAGATGTACTGACGGAAATTCTACATGTTCAATTTTTATTGACGGTATCTGTGATCCAGATTTCAAAATTTCTAGAAACGTTGCGATATTGATTACGATCCATCAATATTACATGCTACACGGTCAATAAATGTCGCGTTAGTTGGATCACGTCAATAAATATTGATCGTCAGACAGGGCCCATAAATATGTACATACATATGTATACGCATATACACTTATTGCCAAAATAATAGAAACACGATATTGTGTACACTTTTAACTATTTAATGTTTATTAAATTTTATATGTTTATTATATTTTTTATAATTTTTAAGCAAAAAACAAAACCGACTTCAATTAACATATAAAAATTTAAGATTATAGTTAATTTCTTCATGATCCAATGATCGGAATTAGTATGGGACCACCTGTGAGGTAACACCTTTCCTAAAAAAAAAATAGAGAAATCGATTAACGTGGTCCAAAGTTATGCGTCAACATACATAAAAAAAAAATAATAAAAAACTTTTCCGATGAATTTATAACCTTCTCCTTTTTGTGAAGTCGGTTAAAAAGTAAGGTTCAATATCTAACATAAACCATGTAAGTCCAAATTCTAAACTTTAGGAAAATGCATCGTTTCATCAAATTTTCAAACTTTTTAATTTTTTTAGTATGCCGTTTAATATCCAATAACATTTTAAAACAATAAAGTCCAAGTTTAAAGTTGCTAAAAAATCGCGTTAATTTTTCGCTTTTCTTTTGCGTACGCGGGATGTGCATTTTGTTCTATAAGAAATTCATGTTTCGAGAATACTTTATACGGAAAAAAATGCACAAACCAACTAAAAAGATATTATCAAAAATCAACGGTTTACTTAAACTTGAACTTTTAATGGTCTATAAAACGGCGTACCATAAATTTTTATGAAAATTCTGATTAAAAATTTGAACTTTTGGTGAAAATTTGTTGAATTTTTATACAAAGTTTGAAATGTGAACTTATTTGCAGTTAGTGATATAAAAAGCTAGAATTTTTTAAAAAAATATTGAATATTAAATTAATAAGGTATTTCTATTATTTCTACTAGCAGTGTACATACATAAAATTAAAGGTCCAATATCTTACTTATTTATAGGGCGATTTGGCTACTTTTTATAATATATACTGGCTATGTAAACAGAAACATTTTTGCCAAAAAATGGTCAAGTTAGGTGGCGCCAGGGTCGAGATTTTTTGAAAACCCGTATTTATGCTCCGATTTGTTTCACATTTGGCTTGTTTAGTTGAAACGTAATAAAGACATACCTTTGCAAAAAAAAAATTGAGCCTGCTTGCAGAGCATTGTGTTGTGCTCATTAATCGGGAGTAGTTTCGCCTCGTCGTGCAGGTGGTGTTCTGGCGGCATCAGAAGGCATCCAGTCGCTGCTTTTGTTTTTTGTCATACTTTTATTTGGCATTTGAGTTGCTCTCAAAATTCCAATTTTATAAAGTAGACAAACTTCAAAAATTCATGATTTGAATCTCTTAATTCGATTTGACTGTTCCCTGGCTCTGTGTTTTGTTTTCGTTTTTCTTCGCTGCAAAATCGATGCAAAATGTAGGTTCTTCCTAAAAATTCATAAGTTTCCGTATTAAATTAGGTATATACACATTGATAAAATTAACTTTTCGTACTCAGAAAAATTCAAGTTTTGATTTGTGAGCTAGTTTCGATAAATTTCCGATAAAAATTAGAAACGGCACCGATTTGTTCGTCATTCGCATGGTACCATGGTGAAATGAACTGAAGGTGGCGCATTCCCGAAACCGCTACTTTGGTTTTGCCGACTTTGACATTTATGGCAATACGTAAACACACTTTTTGTTTAGAAACAAGTGCAAACGTATTGTGTACTTTCAGGTGAAAAATCGAAGTAATTAGTGCGTTCTGAAGTAAAAAACGTTTTATTTGTAATAAAAACTTTATAAAAATGTCATGTCGTGTGTTGAATTGCAGCAGCCGTAGGGGTAAAGCCCCCAAATGCAGTTTTTTTTTGTTTCCCCGCGACGCCGCCTTGGCCAGAAAGTGGGTAGAGTTCTGCCGGCAGGAGAAGCCATACAATTTAGACACCAGCGTAATAAGCATGAAGCACTTTACCACGGTGCAGCGAACAAAGGTGGCGCCGTCAGTGGTACCGCTACTTTGGTTTTGCCGATTTTGACAGTTGTGGTAACTTGTAAATAAACCTTTGTTTACAAATCAGTGAAGGAGAAATTTTAATTAGAAGTGAATCAGTTTAAATTGTGTTAATTTGCAATTTGTGAGTGATTTTTGAGTTGGAGACTGCGTAAAAACTAATACAATGAAGTGCTGTGTGTTAAATTGCGACAGCCGTCAAGATGCAAGAAGCGTAGATGCAGGTGTAGCGCTGGGACGATTCGCTGCATTTTGGGTACACATTGCAAGGCAATGGAGTGCACTAAAACATTACCTATTCTCTAAAATATTAGATGAAAAATGCAATATTTTCGCATTTAGCAAAATTAAAACACGTCGCTGTAAATTGAACTGTTTTGGCAGTTTCAACTCGTTCTTCCTTTCGCTTATTCTTCGTTTACTTGTGGTACACAAATGTCAACGGCCAGGTTAAGAGGCAATACTTTCAACTGTCGCTTTTTACATTGCGATGTCCTACGAAGTGGAAATTGCCACCTCTACAGAACTTTCGAACTGGTTCTGGACTGGTTCTATTTTCGACAGTTTTTTCTTTTCTGGACTGTTTCCATTTTAGACAGATCTGCGACAATAAAAGGGTACTCATATATATGCGCAAGTTTCATATTTGGGCAATTGGGCAACTTTGCGCCATGTGTTTCATGAGGACAATTTTATATTTTACACAATTTCTGACATTTAATTATTTGACTATACTTAATTTATAAAGTAGAACAATTGAAACTCAAATTTGAGTAAATATTTAAGTCTTACCGCAATTATTTCGAAAAAGCGTTGAGCCCAAACCAAAATGAATGTAAACAAAATAGCTGATTGAGGGTTGCACAGCACACTGCGCAAAGTTGCGCTCCAAAATTGCCGCGCAAAGTTTTCCTTTTTGTGCAAATGGCTTTCCATACAAATTTTGACATTTCATTTGCGAGGGTTTAAAATTGCACAGTTTGCCCAGTTTGCGAGAGTTTTGCGCTTTTAAATGAGTACCCTTTAAGTTTTTTATGAAAAAAATTTTGGTTATTCGTTTTTTTTGGTATGTTTTCATTTTTTCTGTTCTTTTACAGATTGCATTTTATTTAATTTTTTTTTTATTCTTTTAATTGTACTAAAATTTGATTATTTTCTCTTAAATTTTTAAGCGGCACTCAACAATTTAAATTTGTTAAATCTGAAAATCACAACTGCCTACACCGCGATTTGAACGATGTTAGAGTGGGAAGTCTTCCCGCTGAGCTATTTTAGTATTGTACGAGAAGTGAGAATTTGTGCATTCACTTCTCAGCAGAGCGCAACTAGCACACCGAAAGTTTCATCTGTCCCTCTCTGCAGCCGTTTGGCACTGGTTCAGGACAGTGCTCCTTATTTTCATTTTGCCGCATTTCAATGTTGATTCTTTTACTTTTACTTTTAGTTTGCTTTGTCTTTTTTATTGGCTCAATTTAATTTTTAAAATTTTTCAAACCAAAAAAAAAACGATTGAAAAAAGTTAGGGATACAGATTTTGAATTTCTTTGCTGAGCAAATTTCGGTTTTTGGAATTTATTTAAGTTCTCTGCAAGAGAGTTCGTGCAGTGCTAATAATGGTGGTGGATCTCCAACTGTAGAATACCAAAGTTTGCAAAACGAGTATTTTTTGTTAAGTAATATCGCCGCAAGCTCAAGAGACAGAGGAATTTGTAGAAGCGACTGCTAATTTAGTAATAATACAAATATTTTGCTTAGGGCCGCTAACTTATC